TGGGGAAGAAATAGTTATTTCTGTCGTCAATATTAGTTTGAAGTAAAAAAACAAAAACTGTAATTTTTAAAACTATTTTGGTTTGATTTTAATACTGTTATGCAGAAAAAGAGACTGTACTGCAAAAACAGCCAAATAGAAGCCAAATTCTGCAATTGTGTTACATCAATTTAAGCTTCGTTTTTTTTTTGTTTTTGTTTTGTACAAACTGCTTAAAACAGATTTTTGAGAAAAAAATTCAATTTTTTTTTTCGTCAATTAAAAATTGCTTCTATAGAAGGGTGCTAATTGTAAGCAGCAGTGTTTCAATGGATATATGTATATATCAGTTTATTAACCAAATATATGTAGACCATTTTTTTTCGAACATTTTTTATAAGTTTGTCAACAATTTCAACAATTATCATTTGAAAAAATTTTTGTAACCAACACTTAGATATTCTAAAAGTTTTGACTGTATTCATACTTTAAAGTTAAAAATAAATTTTTCTTTTTTTTTTCTTGTCATTAATTTTTCTCAATTAAACAGTAAAATTTTGAATAGTTTATTCAGATAAAAATTAAAATCTATTGAAAATTACAAATAAAGCTTTTAATTTTTTGATCAGATTGATGGACGATGATAACCATTATATTTATTAGATCAGCGATCAAAGATCAATGAAATTGGTGTAGTTGTTGACCATAGATTTTTGTTCGTATCATCTAGTGGAAAATGCGTGGTCAAAAAAAAAAAAAAATTATTTCTCTAATAATCAATGTAAAATTTTTTTGTTTTTATTCTTTATTCAATTAACTGTTTCCAAAAATTGCTAAACAAATTGATTTTTGCAAAAATCAATACTGCAGCAAAGATTCATTTTGACTAAGCAAAATTATATTTGTCAATTATTGTTTCGAAAATTTTGTTCACAAAAAATGAATGGAAAAGAAAGACAAAAAAAGAGGAGGAGCATTGGTAAACAAACTGGTGAAAAATTTTCAACTTTTGTTTCAACCATTTTTTTTTTTTTTCGAACAAAATTGTTGCAATGAATAGTAGTCAGTGTTTGACGACAAATGAAAATCGATGAATAATTAGAGGAAGGAAAAAAAGAACTTGTTTTATCGTTGATCTAATAAGAATATATCCGTCTTTTTTTGAAAAACTGTAATTTTGGTATAAGCTTTACGAATGAAAATAAAAACCAATTTACAAAAATCTCACAACTGTTTCGTTTTCTTCCGATTCTTTCTGTTTTTCTTACCACTATTTTCGTTGTCATTGTTTTAAGTGATAAATTACCGCAAAATGCGAATATTAAAGGTTAAATCGCTATTGTCTGTCGTTGCTGTTCTTTCAACTTTTTATTTTTATTGCTGTTTTGTAGTGGTCAAACAAAATCCAACAGTCATTTGCCATCGTACATTATTAAAGTTGGCAAATATCAAACTATCAACTACAGTCAATGTGCTTCTGTACTATACAGTTTTTAAACTGAAAACTTTAGATGACTGGCTGACTGATTAAATGATGAAGACCAATCGTTTTTACATTCTTATATTTTCCTTATATTTTTCAAGAT